TATATATATATATATATATATATATATATATATATATATATATTCTATTTCTTTTAATTATTTTTCGTACTAATATATTTTCTTCCTTATTTATTTATTTATCTTCCATCATTAATGTTTGGCATCATTTGACTCGGGCATCTTTCATGCAAACAAGAGTTGACAACTCGAGTGCACAACACAACAGACCCATTTCACCTAACTCATATCATTAGATGCTTAATGGCTGACGAGAACAAGTCATAATCTTTATATTGAATTTAAATTTAACTATATTTTGGATTTAAATGTTTTATAATCAAGATATATAAAATAATACAATCCGACAGTTAATCAATTCATGTAGTCCATGTCTGATTTTTTAAAAAAACTATTTACAAATTTAAACCTTATATATGAAAAAGAAAATCACTTTACAACTTGCAACTCAATCATGTATATCTCCTTGTTTTAAAAAACAACTTAGATGGTATGACATAATTAATTTTTTTTTTCTGTAGAAAGCTAATATAAAATTGAGTCTTGTAATGTCTACTGTGAGTGAGACAATAATGGGTGCAGATTTCTCCAACTTTCCATTCAAGGAATCTCACTCTCTCTGTTTCGTTTAGTACAGATAAAAGAAAGTGAAAAAATTGAAAAAAATAAATAATAAAAAGATCTAACTTACAATTATAGGATAAAAACTCAGTTAATAAAAAGAATTGTTTGTATTAGAAAATAAACAAAGATCTAATTATCATATATTGAAAGACGGTGACCAGTACAATAAATTGAACAAACGGAATTTGGAAGACGAAAAATCTCGATCTCAAAAATTCGAAACAAAAATACTTTAATTTAAAAGAAATTAACTATTTCATTTGATTAATTTTAACCAAATTAAAATTTTCAAATTATTTTTAAATTGTTTAAAGTATTTGTTTCAAATATTTCAAACAGATATTCTATTTTAAGATATATTTTCAATCTTATAAAATTAAATTAATATAATAATTCAACATAATTCTTTTTAATTTTGTTTATATAATTCAGTTTAATATACATTATTGAGTTGAACTCATTTTCACTCCGTGTAAACATGGTTATACTTTGGTACTGATTGTTAACAACAAAGTCACAGAGTCAGACGGAAAAGGTGGAGAGGAAGAGAAATTTATTGTGATTACTTTTTGATTACCAACTTTCCCACCAATTGATTATACATAGCACTGCACTAATTGTCTTCGATAGACAATTAAAGTACATAAAAAAATTAATAAAAATAGCATACTTCATCTTTAAGAAAAACCAAACGGTGACACTGCCACTTTTCATATATTTATAGGTGTTGAAGTTTTAACAAGTAATTATTGATGCATTTTTAAATTGGTAACTATGATTTGAAGAGAAAATTTGGTGGTTGCTCGTTCTAACACTTTTTTTTTTCTTTTTAAAAAGTGTTACTATGGACTTATAGCTGACCGAAAGATAAAAGTACAGAAGAGTCGTCCGACTGATAATATTTCAGGTCAATGAACCGATCGGCAAAATCAGTCCGATCGATGATACCTCTCAGGTCAGGAGTGTCTTTTGCAGGTATCCTTCCCCGCAGCTCGGACAAGAAGAGGAGAGAAGATAACACAACTGGACATCGAAACAGACAACTTTGAATGTTTTGGATTAGGGTTCTAAATCCTGCCGAAACAGAAAGTAATAATGAAAAAAAAAAAATTGAAGTTGGCAAGTACTCCTAACCTAAGCTGAAGGTGGCATGTAATAAAATGTTATATTAAAGAGTCACATGATAGATCCATCAAAAGGATGTGTATACATCAAGGTTAGGGTGCTTACGATTCAATTTATTGGCCTTTTCCTTTTCATTTATTCTACTTAAACCTTTTCATAATATCAACTTCCTTTTTTTTATTTGATTGGTGGAGAATGGAAGAAAATAAGAAAAATAATATATAAATAAGAGAAAAATAAATGAAAAAATATATTATTTTTTCTAGTATCTGTTAAGATCAATTATCATTTTGATGTATTCTTTGTTTTGGAATTTGAAATTCTTTTATAATTTTTTTTAAAATATAATAAAAAAAGAATAAATATTTAAATTATATTTAATTTTAACTCTAAACTATATGAAATTATTAATTGAGATAGAAATTTCTCATATATTCTTCTCTTAAGGAAGCTTTTTATTATACCAACCTTGGCAGCTCCAATAACTACTTCTTTGTAATTTTACTATTTATTTTCTGTCGTGATTATGTAAAGGTTACAAAGCACTCCAAAACCTGTTTATATGCCAAAAGAAAACGAATTGGAATGCTTAGTTCAAGCCAAAATTCTAGCCAACTATAATAAACTTATTAGGAACATGTGGACGAAATTCAACCTGATTAATTTATTGTTTATCATATCNTTCTTTTTTGTCTTTAATTAAGCGAGGACGTGGGATCTCATCTTGTAACATGTGGAGTCCAGCGAGGCAATCATAGATTTGGAAGTATTTACGAAAGTAGAAGAGAAGGGCGAAAGCAAAAGCAGAAAGAAGAAGAAGAAGATGATGAAGGTTTGGATGTTGGTTTTGGTGTTGAGCATCAGTGCGATTGGGTTTTGTAATGGACTAGATCTACCACCATGCCTCACGCCGCTATCTCCATGCATTAATTTTTTGAACTCCACTGACCCACCCCAAACTTGCTGCAATCCAATCAAAGAAATGAACGCAGCCCAGAATTCATGTTTCTGCGAACTTGCATTAACTCCTCCTGGAGCACTTGAAGCTTTGGGTATCACTATCCCTCAGGCTCTTCAACTTGCTCAATCTTGCGGCGTCAACTTCAAAATCACCTCCTGCAAAGGTTACAATCCCTTATTACTGCATTCTAATTTCCTCTTAGCTTCCAAACCTTTCTCTGTTTCACGTTCAAACCTCATCACCAGTTGAACATGCTTATGATCTTGGTCAACAACTTTCTGTTAATCTTTTTCTTCTTCACAACTACTTTTCATTTCTGAATATAGTACTTTGCTGTCAATGAATTGATATTATACAATATATGAAATTTTATTTTATTTTTCTTCATCAACATTTCATGATCTTTCTCTTCAGCTCCGCCTCCGTCGTTGCTGCCGCCTTCGGGTAAGAATTCTCTCTTTTTCATGATCTATTTATTTTCTTTTATTCATTATTGTATTTTTTCATTATAATTACGTAAAACATACATTTTTCATTATTGTAATACTGCATTTTTATGTTGCAGCAACGGTGGGAGGTGATGAAGGAGGCACATGCAGAGCTACATTCAGTGGGTTCTCCTTCGCACTGTTCTTGGGTGTTTACGCTGTGTTTAATTAGGATGATTAATTTTCCCTTCACAAAACCTTGCTTGGATTCGAGTTAATAATTAATTTCCATTGTTCATCAATATTCCTGCAATTACAGTTTCCTTTCTCTCATGAAATCTCTTATCATTGTTTCTAAGATTGCTAATTTATTGAATTTGTCACAATTTATTTACTAATAACACTGTTATTTAAACCAGTTAATTAAATTTATTTCTTTTATTTTAAATCAGTTTCGATTTATTAAATATAATTTAATTTAAACTAGTTAAATTCATGTCTAAATGTCTGGATAGATTAGTTTTTGTGAGGTGACAGAACGCAGAGTCTCCAAATTTACGTGTGCGAATGTTTGAGGAAACGGGATATGATAATTTAATTTTATTGTTGCCTTTGTCCAACTTGGAATCTTATGAAAATCATTTAGTTGAATCTCACTTCAATTTATTCAAATTTTTAGTAAGGCAGGTTGACCCAATAGTATAATTTAATCAAAAAATTAAAGAGTCTTATCAAGTTACATATATATATATATATCTTTGATAAAAAAAAATATGTGTAGAGGAGATATTGTCGTGTAAACATTAGTAATTGAAACAAATAATAACCCAAAATTATCTAATAATTTCCGAAGATTTGCGTGCATGATTAAATCAGTTAAAGTTCAGTAATAAAAAAATTATTTAACTAATTTAAATTCGCACACGTGCAATGTGTGAACATGTTAAGATGTGCATTGTCATTTAGATCAGTTTATTCATGAAGGTTTTTTATGTATGGTTCTTTTAATAACTTATTTTGCACAATACAAAGTTACTAATTAAATCTTAAATAATATGATATTGTTTCAATAATTATAAATGAAAATCTTCATGACGATGTAAGATTTATAAGCACATAACTTATAGTTAGCTTTCATTAATAATGTTAAAAGGTACAATGAAATACGTAAAAAAAAAGAGAAGTAAATCTCATGGAATGATAGAATATCATTTTTTTTTTAATTTACATAAGAAAATGAATTGAATCTAATTATAATGTAACCTCTCTTTATTATATTAATAAAATTTAACGTCTTTAAAAAATATTTGAGTATAATAAATTAAATAATTTGTTTGTGAGTGTAAGAGAAGAGAAATGATCGTGTATCTTAACAAAATAGTTGATTTGTGTGATGATCTAAAATCTTAAATCACTATATACAAGTTAAGTGATGTATTTATTCATTCTCGACTATACATAGATCTATCAGAGAATAGCTCAGCCAATTTAAATATATAAAATCAAGGGAATAGTTTTTTTTTTTTTAAATACTTAGTAATAATTTAAACAAAATCAAGAAATCCACCTAATACACACATATATATGCCACTGATTGATTTGAATGTCCTGCATTGGTAATTTTAATTACCTTCTCAATTTATTTGTTATACACGTTAATATATTTCATTACAATTTGAAATTATTAATTTCCTAATAAAGAATTAGAAAATATGGGTCATTTAATTTAAAAAAAAAGTTAGAGATGAATTGATATTAGTTTGTATATAATTGTTAGGGAATATGACAACCTGTTTATCGGTCAACTAGTTCAGAATCAACTCATACTTAGCGTGCGTTTGAAAATTTGCTTGCCGAACTTGAACTCAAATATTCCCACACGAAAATACGTAGCTATACTTGAGCTAAAAAGTTGCTATAGTGTCACCATACTAATTAATTATATCAAACGTCATTGCACCAAAGATTACGCCATTGAAAGTTTGAATCTCTTCATCCAATTCTATCTACTGTTCCAATGTGTTGAAAAAAATTAAAAGCCTTTCTTAAGGCTAGAGCGTGCACAACACTAATCCTCGTTACACCAAATTCACTAAAAAAGAATACCAATAGCACTCTAAATTCAACTTTTGAATAAAGTAGCCTTGTCTTGTCGGTCTTCAACAACAGTAAGTCCATGTGATTTGTTTATATTTTCTCAAATGTTTGTTTCAATGAAACACTGACGATTTCATTACTCTCGTTTTGGAGTTACTTTCAAAATTCCTTCAATCAAGTACAGTGTTTATCATAATTTTTTACAAGACCATTTATTTTGTTAGATACTCATTAAACTTGTTTTTAAATAAGGCTTGATTGTGTTTTTACATTAAAAAAATTGTAAAACAGGTTGATCTTGTTCGTTTAAATCTAATATGATTTTGGTCCATTAAAAATAGGTTGTACCATATCATCTTGCACTTAAAAATACATTGATTTTGTTAAAAAGTATATTTTAAATCTAACTCAACCCCACAAAATCGACTTATAAGATGAGGTTTGCATCCACTTATATATTATAAATTGATTTTATCTCTAATTAATGTGAGACTTCTAACACATCTTCCTCACGCTGAGGTATATAGGATAAGCTCTAAGGTGGTTTTGATAGCATGTTAAGAAGTGGACTTTAAGTCTAACTCAACCCCACAAAACTAGCTTGTAAGGTGAGGTTTGCACCCACTTATATATTATAAATGAATTTTTTTGTATTGATTTAACATTTTTAAAGTTTGAGAAACTACCATACATATGCTTTTAGTTGGAAACCTACAAAATCTCAAATTGCACTATCATTGAACTCGTTTAACCTCCATTGACGACACGAAACCATCTGCAAGGAGTAAAACTCCTAAATAGTTTTCCATTAAATCACAAAAACCTTCAGAAATCAGAATCAACCACAACCCATCATCGGACTTTCTGATTTGAAGAAGATGGTGATGAGATGATGATGTGAGTCAGCCACTTTAAGCTCTACTTCGTGACAACTTATTCTATTTCTTAGATAAAATCTATGTCATCAGCAAAAAAGATCAAAATTGAACAAATTTAAAAAGAAAAGCAATTTAAACATAAAAAAAAAAACTTAAAACCACTTTAAATAAAAGTGACAAAAATATAGAACAAAATAGGCATTAAGTCTATATTTAATATATTCTTTTACATATTAATTATAAATTAAAGAAAAATCGATATTTGTATTTTATTTTATATTTATTATGAGTGTTTGTAAATACTTATATATATATATATATATATATATATATATATATATATAT